TAAATGTTACCAATTATTTTAATATTTGAGACAAATACRGTCATCCTATTTACAATGTGTTACAACATTTTTAAGACCTCTGAAAGATTGATTTAAGACATTTTATGGCTAATTAAGGTCTTATTTTTGGATTGATGAATTCAATGACTTTTAAGACTTTTTAAGGATCCGCAGGAACCCTGTTTAAGTGCCCGTGACATCATTATTTTGTAAGAAAAGTGAAAGCATTTTTGGAAAGACAACATTATTAACATATTACAAAAAGAATTTCTCATTACTCAAATGAACAGCTGTTGAGATATTTGCAAGTGAAGTAACAGGAAGTGATGTCAAAGGGGAATGTCTGCATGTGAATATTTTAAAAAACAAATGTTACCAATTATTTTCATATTTGAGATGAATTACAACAATCCTATTTACAACGTGYTAACATTTTTAAGACTTCTGAAAGATTAATTTAAGACATTTTAAGGCTAATTAAGGCCTTATTTTTGGATTGATGAATTTAATGCCTTTTAAGACTTTATAAGGATCTGCAGGAACTCTGGTGTTTGAGTGGTACCCACCTGCAGCTCTGTGACCCAGGAGCAATGCCAGTAAGACATGTTGCACCATTTGGCAAAGAACTCCCTCTCAGACCGTCCTGCCAGAGGAGCAGGGTCCGGCTCATCAGCAGGGAGGTCCGGAGGCCGGGGCACAGGTGTAGGAGGAGGGGGGTCTCCCCATCGCCATGTTAAGATCTTCTGCACCTTCCCCTTTAAGGGTGGACACTGAAAGGCAGGAGGGATTACTAACCACTTCATAATTATGGTTTATCCGTCACGTTTGACCCAGATCTCCAGCCTACTCACCGTGCAGCGGGGGCAGATCCACTCTCCGTTGGGGATCTCTGGGAGCGGCGGGTTGAGGCAGTGGATGTGGTACGACGAGGGACACGAGTCGCAGCAGAGGAGCTCTCCTCCGTCTTTACACACCCTGCAGAACTCCATGTGGTGGTCGTCCTCCTCCATCTCCCCTGTCTCGCCGTTGTCCTCCTCTCCCTCCGAGGCATCTTCTCGAGCCTCCCACTGGATACCCTCCTTCTCCTGGGATTCAGCGACACGCTGGTTAGATCCCCTCCCTCTTTAATTATTGTTCTTTTAGCTGCTAAGAAGCTGAAAGTCTCATGTCTTACACAGTGTGGGCAGCTCCAGGTGCCCTCGGGCGCCTTCTCCATGTCAGGGTCCAGACAGACCATGTGGTACGCCCTGGGGCAGGTATCACACAGGATGATCTCTCCACCCTGCTGGCAAACCTCACAGTAGTCCTGGTGGTCCGTCTCATATCCGTCACCATCTTCTGCTTCTGTTTGGAGGGACAAAGTCTTAAACCTTCTTATATAATAAAATCTGCAGATTTACTTTAACATAGAAAGCAGAGATAAATACTCATATTTGTAGGGTGTAAATTTTAATTCCTCAGCAAGAAACAAAAGGATTTCCACAGTTTCTGAATCTGCTGAGATTTTAACCTGTATTCTTTAACCAGCTGGGTTTACTGACAACTAAAACAAGTCAACACACAGGCTGAAGTTTATGATGCATTTATAAGAAAAAAGATGGACAATAAGGCATACCCTTCTTCTTTTTGGGTTTGTTCTTGGGGGGTTTCTTCTTGCTGCGGCTGCTGCGGCTGTTTGAACTCTCCGACACCGAGACGCTGTTGATGCTGCCGTTCTCAAAGTCGCTGTCGACGTCGGGCTCATCCTCTTCGCTCTGCGAACACCAGAAACAAACACCGAGTTGTAGGAAGAGACTCCTCCTGTACTGCTGCTTTCTGCACACACATGGTTAGGTTCAGTAAACAAAACGAGGAAGGGCGTTCGCACCGATGAGCGCTTCCTCTTGCTGTTGAAGCCTCCCAATTTGATTTTTAAAGGAGCGACTTTTTTTGTTTTGGCGTTATTCTTCTTCTCTTGCGGCTTGGGTGCAGGTTTGGATTTCTTGCGAGCGTTGGGTCCTGCAAAAAGATTGAAAGAAGACCGTAAGATTCTAGAGGGAAAGCAGAGTTTCTATCCATCCGACTCTGTTAGGCCACAGCACCTTTGCCTTCCTTGGTTTTGGCCTTGCGGATAGGCGGGGCGGGGGCCTGTGCAGGCTCCACGGGTGCCGGTGGAGGTGGCGGTGCTGCCACAGGGGCCACCTCTGCCACCATGCTGTCGACGGCAGCTGGGACGTTGGCGGTTGCCAGCGCTGCGTTGGCAGCAGCTGCACCTCTCAGGGGGTTGTTTGTGCTGAACTCACGCCACTTTGCACCCAGAACCATCATCATCTTTGATACGGCAATCTTGGGGTTCTTGGCTGCGATGAGCGGYCTGTGCATGGGAATAACATTTACTGAAACTGTAACGTTCACATAATTACGATTTCTCCTAAATTGCAGTGGGAAATTTACCTGACAAACTGGCTGAAAGCCTTGTAGTTGGTCAGAGAGCGGTAGTCTTCCTCGGTGAAGATGTGATCGATGTCCTCCATRCCCCAGTCGTCCAGCAGCTGAGATGATGACTTTGGTTCCTACAAAAAGCAACAAAACTTTAAGTAAAACTGTTCAGTGGATATATGTTTTCTAAAGTCAGCAGGCTGTAGTCGACATGCTGAGCTGAGTTGCATCCAAAAGCTTATCAGTTGTTGATGTTCAGCCACTGGTTGGTTTCTAAAACTTTCATTAAAATCKGTCCAGTGATTCATCAAATCTTTTACTAATGGAACAGAAATGAACACAAACACTGGGAAAATCCACGTCTGCCTTTTTGTCTTTGGTGAAGGCTAAAAACAAAAGTTTGCCTCTTTTTTTCCCCTCATTTGTTGTGAACTTTTGTGACAAAACACCCCTGAAAAAAAAAAATGTTCAGATGACATCTACAAAACACGTACCTGTCCATTCACTCAAAAGTTCAACTAATCTGATGAACATGATTGAATAATCAGTGGCGCGATGGAGAACCCAGTACAGCAAAACAGACAAAACGTTCAGATCTCTGCTGGAATCCAAATGAGCTGAAGAGTTTTACAGAAGAACTCCTGTTATGATCCACAGAGTGATCTCACACATCCTGAGTGACCAACAACTTCCTGTCAATCTGTTGGATCAAAGCGGGCTGCAGAGTTTGATTCGGGGTTAAAAAAACGAGCTCTGCTCGGTATCTGAGCATCACAAAGGTCAAACTCTTCCTGAGAGGTCTGAGGCCTTATTTCCCCACACAAGAAGCAGAAGACGTTACGCCACAGATGCCTGCTTTGCATGTGGAATAACAGGCCCTTCTGCGATAACTGGATTTGCTTCATCAGAGCACATTTGCATGGCTGAGAGCTTCAAGTGGCCGGTGAAGAGCCTCTAAAATTAGAACCCAGCGAGCAAAGGCTTCAGTAATTGACATTGACCAGCATGTTTTTAAGACAATTACAATAAATTGCTTGATGATGTCTGAATCCTTTTGTACATCACTGCCTGTACAGCTAATTTATTAGTTACCAATAACAGTTGGTAGATTAGAATTTTTTAAAAATCTTTTGCTGATTTTCAGCATCATGTAATCACAAAATATTTTTTTTAATTTGATTTATCTTTCAAGTAATTACATTTGAGTTTAAGCAATTTGCCCCCAAATTAAAAAAAATGCACTTTCATGATTTCATAACTCTGGTTCTGTATGAAACCTTTGTCCCAGTTTTTGACTTATTATTAGTAAATCACACTACAGGAATTAGTCTCATTAAGTAATTCCTACAACTAAAAGGTCAACTGATCAGAGTTTTTCTATGGTTGATGTCAGTCTTTAGAAACCAGAGCAGCCAATGGCCAATAAAAAACACATCTCTCTACATGACACAAATGAGCTCGTATATTTGAAGTTAATGCACAGAAAAGCACAAACCTGCTGCTGCTGGAGCTTTTATACCAAGTTTAAAAGTATATTTTTACCAAGTATACATTGCTGCACTGATTGAGATGAATATTTTGGTTTATTTCTAACTAGAACATAGTTAAAGTCAAGCAAATACTCATGTCTACAAACTATTTTGTGCAACCAACAATGGAGAAGAAAAAAAAAGATTTTTACTAATGGTGCAACATAAATAATTCAAAAAGGATTGATTTAAAKAAATGTCAATTAAGAAGCAAAACTTTCCAACCTTCAGACTCTAAAACGAATGCTTTGATTGTGTCTAAACTGCTGTTTTATTATAGATAAATAGGTTTCTTTTAAGTGGAGCTCATTAAAGTTTAAAGATCTTTGGACAGTGAAGAGTCAAGTTCATGTCAGGCTGTCCTAGAAGCAGATAAAAAAAATCCAAACACACAAACAAACAAGAAAAACAACCATCCTTTTCTTTAATCAAGGCTGTTGTGCAACCTTTTGTTTTTGCCATCAGGCTGCAGACAGAAGCAACAATAAATCTGCCGCTGAATTAAAATGCATTTATCTAACCGAAAAGAAAAAGGGTCAAGTRCGCAGTGTGGTGCAGCACTGGGATTGCCATGGAAACAGCACATTATAAGTAAATCTTACACACCCGTCTTCGACATACACACTCGCGCACCCCATACCACCCCCTTGTATAACTATCATTAGTGAGGCCCCCTATTGGCCGCTGGACTCCAATCCAGCAGACACGCTTCTTTTGTTCAAGCATCACTCGGATCACGTGTGTTTGTCAAACACAAGACTCCATTACAGGTACGCAGTCAAGAGGTCCTCGTCAGGAAGCACAGAAAAGACTGATCAAATATGCTTTCACACCACAAGAGACCCTTCTGAGCAACAGACAACTCACGTTTGAACTGATGTTTGAACTCGTTTAAAACAGGAATTAGAAGTGCATGTTTTTCAACAATGCATTTTGATTTAATCAATTATTTCTAATTGCTGGTCACTAAAAAAACGCCTGATTCCATGGAACTACTCAGTACATATTAGGGGTGCAACAATACATGTACCCGTATTGAACCGTTCGATACAGTGCTTTAGGTTCAATACACACTTGTATMAAACAATACAGATTTTTTTATTTACTTTATCAACTTGTCTTCTGAAGATGCTCTGTGTTGAAGGATCAGTGGATCTGTGTTCGACTACTCAACCTAGGCTGCATTGTCGAGCGCAGATCCACTGAAAAACTTGCTGTTTCAGCAACATTTCATTTAAAAACTGTACTTTTGAGGTTAAACAAATGTTCATACCTAATTTAAATAAATTACAAATAAAAAAGGGCATGGAAATTTCTCTTTTTTGTTTTGAAAAAATATCAAACAGTGAGACTAAAGTATTGAACCGAACCGGGAATTTTCTGTATCGTTGCACCCCTACTACTATTTGAAATCAACTGCTTGAGTTTTGATCCATCATAATTTTATTAAATGCCAAAACAGGACAACAAAAGCAAAAAAGGCCTAAATATCAACATGAAATACTGTCTTTCATTGGCTGATTACGTCTGCGTCTAATCAGGAAGAAAAGTCGTTCAAAACTTTTTCAAACAAATATTTTGCAGGTTAATCCGGCAGAAAAAAAAACTTCCCTACACTTTGTGTACTTACCGAAGAATCGTCGTCATCGTCATCATCATCTTCCTCCGGCTCAGGTTCTTTCCTTTTGGAGGAGCTTCTCTCGACGCCGCTGCTTCTCTTCTTGTCCTTGCCACTGCTGGCTTTCTTCTTCTTCTTGCGTCCTGGAGTGTAGTCGCTGCCCTCGCTCTCGGAGCGCTGGGCGGAGCCAACGTCTTCTACATCTTCCACTCCACCCATGTCCATGGGCTCAGGTGAGCTGATGGGTAGCTCCTGGTGCAAAGGAAGTAGACGCAAGTTGACTTAACTGAGAACTTTGTAATAACTGGATYTTAGTTTACTGGGAAAATAAAAACTATTAGATTAACAGTTAATTTTTGAGATAAAACCAGGGATAATCTCTTATTCACCTCCCTTCGTGACCGCCTCTTGCTGCCTTTGCTCTCTCTGCTCTTCTTGGCCTTCTTCTTCTTCTTCTTCACCTTAGGAGACTCGTTCTCTGAGATCTCCTCTTCCTCTTCATCTGCAAATYGAACCAGGAGATACGCTCCATGTTTAGGAGTCACACCAGTTGGCTGTGTGTCAGCACATTCAGGCTGTGTGATTGTTACTTAACAAGCTCTGAAGATAACACTCATATCTGAATACTTGCAGATCCTGCTGGAAACAAGACACCAGTCACATGCTGGTTAAATCTGGACATGGCTCAATTCGCTTAATGGATCAACCAATTCGACAAGTMAACAATAGCCGATATCTTTTGGGGAGTAAACTAGCAGCTTTAAATATGAAGAACGGTGGGTTAATACTTTTATTTTTGAAACTCCAGAACAAAATTCACATTTTGCCAGCATAACTGACCCMTGTCAAAATTACAATGCAATCACACCACGCTGATGTGAAAACGTTTATAACAGAAATCCTGATAACGTAAACTAAAGGGGGAACAACTCTCCATCTAATTTAGTGTGCTTTTTTTACAAGAAGTCCTCAGGGAAGGTGATTCAAATCAATGCTCTGGTGGTTAAAACRTTAATTTACAGTTGATTAGTCAATATGATTCACCGCAGTCCTGCAGGTCTTACAAAACAGGGTCGCTGTACAGAAAGAGCCACTGCTGCATTGACACTCAAGAGTTCGCTACTGTAATTGGCTACAACTTAAAATTTAAAAAGTAGTTGCTATTAAAACACACCTWGCAAGAAAGAAATGTTTTAAAACTAACCGTTTAGGTCCTATTTTAAAGATAAAACCCCGCAAATGCCATTRTGTTAAATTCAATAAATGCCATCTTGTTGCATAAAACAACACCAACTTTTAAGAAGTTTCCAGAAATCAAGATCATYTTAGTGGACGGTGTAAGTTGCTTTCTCGAACATGCAACCTGGAGCAACAAACCTAAAAATCTGAGTTCAAATATAGGTCACAAATTCAGGTAATACCTGATGTGCTTGGACATTTGTGTAACTTAAGAGCTGAGCTTGTAATACATGTGTTAGCAAAAAGACTCAAGTATAAAGTTTGATCATGTACAATCTTTAAATATTACTCGTAAAAACAAATTATTGCTGCTGATGTGCATCTCTAAAATATATGACAAATTAATAAATTATCTTATAAACCAATCAATAATGAAGACTTACTGCTGAGCTGCAGCCCTTCTAGTCGTGTAGCAACATACCTAACAATAATAATAATAATAATAACAATAATAATAATAATATAAAACAGAACAGACATTAGCATGAACTGTTCAGAACAATGACGTGCAGTTGTCCCAAAAGGCTCATTTCTTTATCTGTAAAAGTTTGATTTAWTTTTTATTTGCATCTGGAATTAMAGCTGGTAAGCTTTCATTGAAAATGTTGTGTATTTGCTAAATAAATAACAGGTTTTGCTCGATTWTATTACTTAGATCTGTTCTGAACAAATATTTGATCTCAAGGGTTCACGGTGTACGCTGCGCGTGCTCGCTAAAGAAAATAAGCTAACAGTAAACAAAGCAGCCTCAAAGCGTTTCATAACCCAAGATAAGWAGGTATAGACGTGTATATTGAATAGTTAGGATGGTTTGTATTGTATTTTAAGCTTTATTTTCTTTATTTTTTTCCCCCTCGCAGTCAAACCGAAGGCGCCGGCTACGAGGAGGGGAACGCTACAGCGTCATACGCAGGCTTTCAAGCTAACTGGCTGCCTCCATCTTGTCATAGACACGTAAAAAAATACCGGTAGCTGGCTAATGCTAGGCCCCGGGAAACATGCCGGTATGTCGGCGTGCCAGCACAACACTACAACTACCAGCCTCTTACAACCTCTGGGGTTAGGGTAAAACTATTTGTTTTCTCTAAAAGATGTTTGATAGCTGGTTTGCTAGCGGGCGCTACTCTGTAGTTAGCCGCTTCGACGAGCTAGCGCTATGCTAACATGATTGATGTGAGCGTCAAAAACATCTGCTAACACACGAGCAGCGTGAACATTAGCAAATTCAGCTAACGAATGAGCCTCATCTTACCGTGCATTAGGCGGTCGTCGGCAGCTCCATAATCATCTCTGTCATCTTCACTTCCAGACATAGCGGGTAGCAGGCAACTTTCTTTTTAGTTAGCTAGCAGTTTAGCTAACTATAAATAAAAGTTATTGTTTTGAGAGAATCCAGCGTTCAGTCTGAAGTCCGTCCAAATCGTAGCGGGGACACCGGCCAGGTTTATTAAGAACACAAAAGAAAGCGGAAGTGAATTATTAGGAGCGAAAAAACACCCGGTAAAACACAGAGGGSTATCAGCAGTCAGCACATGGGACAAAAACACAACTTTGCCCGGCTATTGTGAAGTTTATACAATTTGTGTACTGCACTCACTCCATCTCTACTGACATGTACTTTCAGTCCCATTAGCATGCGTGCTAACAGAGCTGAGCTGAACCGGCGGGCACATTCAGATATAGACAGAAAACAGTCGCTTGACATCTACTAATAAAATGACCCTCGCTGAGCCTTCCTCGTCCCTTTTCAACAAAATCCCCCCCAAAAATCAAAACTGACATACTCACAACTTGACTCCAAATATCCTCCAAAAGCAGGAACTCCACGCTCAGTTTGTCAGTGATTCAATTTCTGTAAGCTCCTCTTTTCTATCTTAACGGTGTAACATCCAATTTAAGTATATTTGTGTGTTTTTTTGAGTGTGTGTGGTAGCGTGTGCGCACGACGCCTTCTCCTCTTTCTCTTCCTCGCGCGCGCACACACAAAGAGATCAGGGGGCAGGCATCCCATAATATTCTCCCCACACACACACTCACATGCACGCACGCTCATACATATACACGCACATTTCACTCACCCCTCCCCCACTCTGCATAGTTACCTTGCAACGTACAGACCATAATAGTCAACTCACCCCCTCCCTCTTCTACAGTCTCTTCCCCATTCCTCCATGCACATCACCCCCCCCCCCTTACACACACCTCCACCCCTCCCTTAGCAACCATGGTTGCCACGGAGACGCTCACCCCTCCCATCCCTGTGTGGCATCCCATAATAGTAATGAGCGCAGTCACTGACATCCCACAATAAGCATAACTCCAAAAAGAGAGAGATAGGAGCAAGGAGGGGGGGCGAAAAGGAAAACGCGCTCACATGGCAACTGTGTGTGCCACATGACTGCTCAACTTCAGTGCATGTTTGCGTGTATGCGCAGACGTCCTGCAGACGGTGCGTCTGCTGAGGTGCAACACCAGCAACCACCTTTAAATCACCCCGGGTCCACAGAATGTGGGGCGACCCCGATTTAACCCCAATACAAGGCCTTGTGAGCCCAAACATACATTACTCAGCATGAGGGCAACCTTTGGATTACTGGGAGCAAAAAGAAACTCGACAGTAAAAAAAAAAATCTTCAGAGAAGCTTTGAAAAAGTCCCCTTTAGTGAGGAGGACAGTAAGGTCGCGGGGGTCAAGCCTGCTGTCGAAACGTTTTAAATCTGCAGCTGGAGGTATCCCTCAAAACTCGCAGGAGAGAGCCGAGAAGTGCAAGCCAGCAGCTGAGTTAAGCTGTCTGCACTCATACTGGCTTCTCCACAGGCTGTGAGCAAATGCATTGCAGTCAATGGTGGGAAAAACGTCTGGGTCCTAGACAGCTACTTTCCCACCATTGACTGCCTGTAATATGTTTAGACTGAGGGGTAAAAACGCAAAACTGCCTCTGCTGAGCACAGAGAGGAGCTTCAGAGTGATGTTTTAACACATGTGAAATCAGCTGCTGACATGTCTGCTAATTGGGAGTTTATTTTGGACCTCAGGGGAAATCAGAATTAGTTACGTTTTGGTATTGCTAGACTAGGGTTGGRCGWTATTGGCGGAGTCCCTGGACCCCTGCATGTCGATTTGCTCTTCATAAAAATCTGTTCCAAAGTGTGCCAAAAAGTACCGACTTCAGGCTATACGTCCATTTTTTGAGTTTAAAATTAGGCTGGACTTATGATAAATAAATTACAGAACTTCAAAAAAAATGTTTGTTATATTTGAAGAGGAGCGGAGCAATGAAGCAGTCTGACCATTAACTGTATTAATCATCAAGTGCCAAAAAAATAATCCATTAAAGTTTTTCTGACGATTAATTTCACACAATAATATTTTGCCCAACCCTATGCCAAACCGATGCTTTGCAGACGATACATAAGTTGCCCTAAAAATAAACAAACCAAAAACTCTTATTTTACCAGCTATAATACAGCTATGWATGTAGCCAAAGTATTGACAGTGCTTGTCAATATTAGGGGCGGGCGCATTGATTCAAGTATCCATACCATGGAGACGAAGATGAGTTCATAGGGCCAATATGAGATTGATAAATTGACAAAAATTCAATTATCTTACAAATAATTGCTAATAACTTTTACAAAAAATAAATGCTGTTTAAAGTTTACAAAGCCACGCGAGTGAGTAGGGGTGTCCCAATTCTTTGTGTGATATAAGGGGAGGGCAAAAATGAAGGGCTATCTTGCATTTCAGATAATTTTCAATAGATATGAGATATTCTAACTTTTCAAAGTCACAAATATGTCAAAATCTGTTACCAGTGAGAGACCTAGTTTTGCAAGCTGTTGATGTTGAGTGTCTGGCGTACAATAACAGCTTCCTAGCTAACCCTCAAGGGGTCCTGTTTTGTAGTGGGATATCTTTCCCACAACCCAGACAGACTTCGAGTTAAGGGCTAAGAAATGGGGATGTGGAAGAAGTAAAGAAATGGGTTTCAGCCAAAGATTGTTCTTAGTCAGCCCTTCCAAATCATGAACCTAGACCTGTATATTAATGTCATGTTGYGAGCTGTACACTTAGCCTAGCTAGCTAACATAATTTCCTTTGTTAAGCATGCTGCATTTAACAAACACACAACATGTTGTTTATGGAAAAGACTGAAGCTGCAGATTTATCTTAATGACACAATGCAGACAAATGTCAGTGCACCGTTTTCCTAAACATTAGTAACATTATCGGGCTGTTTTGATCTCTAGAGGATCTAGGCCTTAGGAATAATTCATGTCAGCATATTGTTGGAGTGGCCTAACTCTGGTTTTAACCCTTCGCAGGCTGCTGCCTTCCTGGGTTCTGTTAGGCCTCCCAGCCTCCTCTCTGTTCGACTACAACCTTCTCTGACTCAGCACACCTTCTTCATTCGGACGCTCTCCTTGTCCCCCTCACACTCATTTCCTCACAWATGGACCAAAATAGCAAATGACCTGAAAAACAATTTCTCTGGTTTTCATTTCTTTCCAGTTCTGCTTGTTTTTTTTTCCTCCTCTCCCTGGTTATCATCTTCCCTCCTCCCCCACACGTCTCCTTGTTCTTAACTATGGACACAGTGTTCATGTGTGAATTTGGAGAGATGTGGGGGGTTGGGGGGGGGTAACATCCCATAATCACCAATCAGAAGAATCCCGGGGACAGTTGTCATGGAAACCTCGTGCACAGGTCTTAATGCCCCGCCCACATCGCCACGCCTGCAGAAATGCATATCTCATAATGATAATAATATCATTTCTGAGCCAAAAAGGAAGAAAAAACTGAGGGGGTGGAGGGGGAGACTACAGCCCATAATAGTGCTCTTGTGCTACTAGTTGCCATGGAAATAAGCAAAGGGGTGGTGATGATGGAGGGGGGGGGAGTGTTGCAGGCAGGGTCAGATTACCATGTAGGTATAAATGCATGCCATAATATTCCTTGACACCCCCCCCCCCCCCTGTGTCTGTGCACCACCTCTCCTGCCCCGTGCAGTCCCCTCATTGAAGCTGCACCAAATTAAGTACAATTGATAAGTCCCAACATGTCTGCTGCATCAGATAATGTCAGCTGCCTGAATCTGACAAAAAAAAAAACAATAAAAATAATAATAAAAAACAATAAAAATAGGACAGGTTCGTTTGTGTTGACCAAACATCAGAAGACTTSTCTGCAAGGTGACTTTTTCATCCGTCATCTTTCAGTTGTGTCCTTTTTTGTCCTGTTTATAGGTAAAATGAATGACAGTCGAGTCATACATATTTATGTTTTAGCTTGTTAGAGCTGTTTACCTGTAAGCAGGAATAAAGTGGCCTCCGATGATTGTCTTTGCTCCGTTTACGTCCACTTTATACAGTCTCACAGACAACATGTCAACACAAAACTGAAAGTTATTTAAAAAAACAAACAATAACTCATAAAATAGATCTTTCTTTAAAGTGTGTTCAAATCGTTTATTTACCTTCTGTTCACTTCGTCCCCAAATCACAGAACAGACCCCTGGAACAGTGAGAACATCACCCGACACTGGGACTGTAAATGAGGAGAATCCCTGCTTGTAAATTTGTGAGTACTGCCTGATTGATTTCCATAATAAATAAGTAKACAAATGATGCAGGGGGTATATTTTACTTCAAATAGTTTACAGTTAAAGTTTTTTTTTTTTTACGTATTTCTTGCTGCCTGTCGGTCTTTGTGCCGCCTCCTCTCCCAGCCCTACCTCTCTGTGTCTGCAGATAGTTATTATTTCTCCAACGTACACAGGCTGTGATGTCTACACACACGGAGGGTGTGTGTGTGTGTGGGAG